ATCATACCACTCTTCTCTGACTTCTGCAAGTGGCTTGTAAAACTCTTTGATTACTTCTTCATCTTCAATAACATTCCTCTTTTTGAACTGTTCACTAAAATGTTTTTTCATTTGCTCTAATATTGCACTTAGTTTACTAACTAATATACATCTATCTTCTTTTGTTTTAATACTTGATTAATTCTGATTTTGTTGTATAGTTTGTCTAGAATACTAGAAAGCATTCTTTCTACTTCTCTGTCAATCCTCTCACATCTTCTATTTATTGCAGTATTAATTTCAATTCTTGTATACTTATTTTTTTCCATCTTCTCTGCTATTCTTAATGCCTGCCACTGCTTTTTTGTTAACTGATACTACTCATCAAGATCTATTATTTTGGCTTCTTCTACATAACCTATTTTTAGACCATATTCTATATTTATCTTATCTACCTCTATGTTAATTTTCTCTAAATTTAATTTGATTCTTTCTTTCTTCACCAACTTCTAGTCTTCTGCAATAGTTTACTTAGTGTTACTATTCTTTTGTGTAATATTGTTGTTCTTTTTTTCTTTCAACATTGCTATTTCTTTGGATTATTTTCTTTTTTAGTATATTTCTGTTTGCTATATCTTTTATTGCACAAGATACTATATCCCACACTTTGTCTATATTAGTGCTATATTCAACTTCTTTAAATACTTTAAGTCTACTGTTCTTAGCTAAGTAATTTTCATAATCTACTTGGTAATCTTTTCAATTTTCTTTCATCACCTTTTTATACAAATAAATTGTTTTTGTTATATCTTTTTTCTTTATTTCTGCTACACTATATGTTTGAATCAAGTATTTGAACATTAACATTGCACAAACAATATTATGATCACTTGATGTTATATATTCTGCATCAATTATTTCTGTCTGTTCTAAACCTAGTTGTAGATCTTCTGTAATCTATATTTGGTCAATTTTCATTTGTATATCATGTCCTGCCCAAGTGTAACATCTTAATTCTGGGTTGCAAATTTTATATATATCACCAAATCCCTGTTTTATCATTCATTTATGTAGTGAAAGTGATCTGCTATAATTATTTTCACTACTACTCAACTTATCTACTTTGCTATTCACTACATAGTTAAAATTACCTATTTTTATAAATTGTGAGTTAGTTGCTCTCTCTATATACATATTTACAATTTTTTGTTGTAACTTTCTTGTTTTTATTTTGTCACTTGGAGGGTATATACTACTACTATCATTATTTCTATCTGCTTAAAGTAGAACTTTGCTTCAATTAATATTTCTCAAATTTACAGATTTCTTCTATATATTTTTTCCATTTTTGGCTTATCAATAACCTAACACCTGATAATTTCTTCTTTATGATCTCACTTTGTGACCAAATGCCTCTATAATAATTGTTTTCTAAACTGTATTTCAGCTCTTTACTATTACTATTTGTTTCTACTAATCCTAGAATATCAACTTTTTCTTCTTTTGCCTACTCAACTATTGTTCTTAGTTTGATTTTATTATGCTTTATTCCATTTATATTATGACATGCTATCTTAGTACTTGTTATCACCTTTTCACTTTTGTCATATCTGTTTACACTATATGTCAACTTCTCACTACTGCTTTCTAACTCTGTATTTGACAGAGTGAGTACTTTTTCTTAAAGAATGCCTATAGCAACTTTTAAGAGCAATTTGAGAGCAAGCTCTCTAATTGTCTTTCTTTAATGTCATCTAATCTTCTTAATATTCTACTAAAAACCTCTTGTAGTTCACTTTTCAGCATTTTCACATCAACTGCTTTTGTCTGCATACTATCATTATCTTTTCTGTTGACTTCTTTATCTTTTCTTTGCTGATTTTCTTTATTACTCTTTTCTTTCTTCATGGTTTCTTGACTTTTCAATTGTCTTCTATACTGTATGCTTCTATTTGTGACATGTTCTTTTCCATCTTTGTTTTCTTCTCTTTTAGTTTCAATGTTTTTGAATGCTCTTTTGTTACACTAATCTAATCTTATATTATAATAATATGGCTCCTTATTAGTGGACATTAACAAGTCTTCTTCTGTCTCAAAATAGACTGATGCAATTTTTTGTTAATTTTTGTTTCTATTTACCAAAATATAAACTGCTTTCACCTTTACTACTTTTAGTTGTCTTAATAATAACATCTTTATTGCTGTTGTTTGAATATTTTTGATTATTGTCTTATGTGTTGCTCTACTTTTTAATACCTCTCTTGCAAAAGTACCTTGAATAACTCTACATGTTTTGCCTTCTTCAAAATGCACTGATCATGCCTGATTAAGCATTGATTTTCTATTCTTATTTCTAAACTTAACAGTAAACATTGCCACTTTAATGTTACTACAAGTTTTCTACTAAATAAACCTAATTCTATCATAAAACTGAAGACATTTTCTTATATGTGCTGGTCTTACATCTACTGGAATGTCCCACATTGTATAGATATTGCCCTTTAACTTACTATCTACATGCATTTTCATTGGCTTCTCTGTATCACTTTGTTTTTTTATTTGTTCATTTTGTATTTATTCAACATTTATGGTTACTTCAGATTTCTTCTCTTTTTTGTGTTTAACTTCTTTTTTGTCTGTTTTATATTTTTTGCTTGTCTCTGTATCATTGGTCATGTTCTTCTGCTGCTCACTTTCTTCTATCTTAACTTCTTTCTCTTCTTTATTTTTTATTACTGAGTTTTTTTTTGTTTGCTTTTCTAGTATACCATAATGCATACATTCATATTCTTGCTCTAGCAATATCTCTTTCTTTTTTTTGTCTTTACTTAATTGCTCTATACTATTCTTTTTTGGTTTCTTACTGTCTCTTACTCATATATATTCATAGTAATTATATACTTTAATTAAGTTTCTAAACACACAAACTAAGACTGCTTTAGTGCCAACTAGTCTTGCCAATTCCTTATCTTTTCTTAATACTCTTGATTTATGACTATCTAATAATTCTTTCTGTACTCTATCAGATTTGTTAAACATATTATGATACTTTTTTAATTTCTTATACTAGTCAATCTCTGTAGATACTGATTGAACTTTTTATATTACACTTCTTTGCATTATTTCTATATCTTATCTGTATATATTCAATATGTGTCTTACTATATATATCTAAGTTTATTTGTTTATCTACAAGATTGTGTGTCTGTTTATTTGTTTTGTTGTGTTTACTGTTTAATCTGATTTGCTTTATATATCACATGTGTGATTTGCAATACAGGGTTTTTGTGTTTTCCTTTTTTTGACTAAAAATTTACATCAAAGAGCAAAAATTTTCTCTAAAAGTCAAATCTAACTACTATATTGTTGTCAACTTGGTCTACTCTTCTAATAAATTATATCTAATTTCTTCCTAGCTTTAACTTTGCTTAGTTGACAACTGTGCTTTTACTTGCTAGCTTTTGTGATTTCTATAATTTTCTTTCTGTTCTAATTTTGGTTATAGAGATCAGTGGAAAGAGTGATACTTTTAAACAATTAAAATTATAAAATTTGCTTAATTTTAAATTAGTTTAGAATCCCAAAAATTTAACTCTTCTTATCAATTATTTAGACACAAAAAACAGAAAAAAATGCAGTAGTGGAGATTGCCAATAAATCTTCTATATTTATATATTATTATTTTTCTATTTGATATTATATTAATAAAAAAAACAAATCTATCATAAAATCCGAATTTCATATTGTATCTTAAGATCTACAACTCAACCTTTTAAATATGATGCATTTTTAAATATTGACTTATTTTTATCATATTCTTTCTTATTTAATTTTATTAGTTTAAAAATAAACTCCTGATATATTTAATGAATTAAATATCAAACTAATCTTTATACATAATTACTAACACTCAAATCTAAATAAGCCTTGGCCATTTTAGTTGATTTAGGTTACAAATAAATTAGTCTAAACTTTTATTCTTTCTATAATATTTTGAAAGCAGTATTGTACTTTATGTAAAATCTCAATTAAATATTCAATAAAGATAGAGGTATGGTCTTATCATTAATATTAAAAAAAAATTAAACATTAAGTTTTTAGACTATAAAATTTTACAAAAAAGAAGATTGTAGTTTTTTTGAACACAACTAAATAATATATATATATATATATATATATATATATAATAATTGCTTTTAGTTATACATAAGAGTTTTTGAATAATTATTATTTTGTACAAGATTTTTTTTAAAAAATATAAGTTATTACTAAATAAGATTTTTAATCCAAATTTAACCAAATTTTAACTGATATTCAAATAAATTTTTATAATTTGATATTCAAATTTTTACAAATCTTTGCTATATACAATATGCTGCTGATTAGTATTTAGACAATATTACAATAGACTAATACAAAAAAACAATAATCCAATTTAATTTTTGTGACATAATATGCATAGAGAATTTCTATAGTTGATATATTACAAATAAAAATTTTGAATTATTGCTCTGCTGACCTGACCAGGATATAAAAACTGAAAATATAAATTTGTATAGCCATATATGTAAAATTTATTTTTATTAATGCACTACCTACCGCTACTTTAAACACTAGTTAATACTAGTTTTTGAGTATTTTCACTTTTTCTTATTTTGCACGTGTTCAGATTCTATGTGGGATGATACAGAATAGGGCCACCAATTTTCTGCTGACAGATCCAAAATTTCCTACTTCATAAGCCGGTTTATGCGAAATTATGCAATAAAATTGCTCTATTTATGCTGTAAATTCTGTGATTTTTTAAACTATGGCATAAATTCTGCGAACCAAATTTTTAAAAAAATCAATATTAACTTTCCGCTTTTTTTCGAAAAACATGCACGTATTTTAAGTTCACTGTAGAGATGCAGGTACTATATAACTTGCACTTCTAGTTCACTGACCATCTGTATCAGAATCTTCCAGATTTTTGAAATTTTATTATGCTTAAATTTGCTAAAAAAAATTTACAAAATATGCTATGAATTATGTGAAGTCTGATTCGATGTATAAAATATGCTATCGCAGGTTTTCGGTGGGAATAATTAAAATTTGCACTCTCAATTAGTATTCAAAAAGGCCAGGTCAGGTCGGGCACAGGTCAGGCCCGCATGGGTCATGGACGACCCAGCCCGGCCTGTGAGTAATTGGACTATATGACCTGCGGGTCTGGCCCACGGGCCATTAATACGTGTCTAACTTGACAGCCAATAAAACAACATTACATAATAGACGCACCAAATGAAATTTATTTAATCGATAAAAAAAATACAACTATTTATTTGAGTATAAGAAAATTCTAAATTTAATTAATTTAATTTTTAATATCTCTCTCAAGCCAACTTTTTAAGCACAAACTAGCACGTACCGTTGATGGTCTTAATCTATTTCTTTTTTTTGTAATAGTGTTACTTGCAATACTAAAGGCTTGTTCACAACTTACACTGGTAGTCTGCAGTACCAAGTAATCTTGTGCCATTAAACTTAAAGTTGGAAATTCATTAGCATGACAAGACCACCAAACCAATGGATCTATCCCAATATCCTCAACCAACTGTAAGTAGCGATCTAATTCACTATTTAGTGGCTTAAGTAAATAGTTCTGATTATGGTTATTAAGATGAGCAAAGTATTCATGTAGATTTTGTGGAGCTTGGGAATTAGATATTGAGGAAGTAGTAGTGGTGGTATTATGATTAAGTTGAAGATAAGTATGAAAGACATTTTGAATTGTATTTATAGCAGTAATCTGTTTTTCATCTTCAAAATCTGACAACTTATATCTTGGATCTAGGATAGTTGAAATGGTACATTTTTCATCTATTAATTCCCAATAAGATTCAATTTTTTGAAAAATTGATGCTGCCATTTCACTTTCTTTAAATTCATTTTTACCAATATGTTTGTCAAGGTGTGTTTGGATTGCTAAAAAAACTCAACGCACTAACCCCATTGTGGGATATGAAGCAGCAGATAGAAGTTTTGTTGCCTTTTCCATCGGATCTAATAAAATTAATGTATCATCGATATGTTGAGAGTCATCTGAATTTGGAAAAATTTCAACTAATTCATCATGATTTGCAATTAACATTTTTATAGTGGTTTTAATTTTTTTAAATTTAGTGAGCATGTAGAATGTACTATTCCATTGAGTCTCAACGTCAATTTCTGGAGCTAAATAGGTAATATTTTTTACATCACATAATGATCGAAGTTCATCACACAATACAATTGAATTTTTAATTTTTGACATTAAATTTCGTACTTTATTAATCGATGTGTCGATTAATTCTAACCCTTGTTTTACTGATAGATTAATAATATGTGCTGCACATCGATAATGACCAAACTTATTATTATGAAATTCATGAATCAATTTTTCACCTAATTCTCTACCTAAAACAGTCATTGCAGATTCATTATCAGTTGTTAGTCCAATAATTTTTTCATTAAGGGAGAATTCATTAAGAAGATAAGTAAACTTATTTAAAAGATTTGATGCTGTATGACGCTTATTGAGTGGAATAATATCTAGCAAAAAATGTTCAAGTTTCCACTTTATATTCAAAAAATGAATTGTAACTCTCATAAATGCCTCATTATTAATATTCGACCATAAATCAAGAGTAAAAGCTATTTTACCTCGCACTTGTTTTAAATCATTTTTAATTTGTTCTCGACATAAATCAAACTCTGACATAATTATATTTTTAATTTTTGTTTGATTAGGAATTTTATATCGTGGATCTAATTTATATACGAAGTTTCTAAAATGAACATTTACTACTACAGTGAATGGTTGTTGATGACATACAACCCAAACTAATAAACAAAAATCTTGTTCTTTTTGATCATTTAGACTATGTAGACGTGAATATTCAAGTTGTAACTTTAATTTATATAGTTTTTTTGAGGTAATGTTATGCTTTCGTTCTAAATGCCTTCATAATGTAGAGGTTAAAAATTTTCTTGTAAATCGCTCATTACATTTTAAACAATATGGAATATTGTTTTTTTTTTTAAAATAATTCCATACAGGAGATGTCAAACATGAATTTACTTGACTAATAGAATCACTTGGTGTAATACTACTAAGTGAAGGTAATTCATCTTGGTCTTCATTAGTTACAACATCTTCCATATCACTTAAATCATATAATTCCTCTGACGAAATTGCATCGTCCTCTAACTCAATTGAGTTTGTAATTTCCATTGTTTAAAAAAAAAATAAATAAATTTGACTTAATTTTTTTTTTGTTGAGATAAAAAACTTGTAGATAATACACATACTTTATTTATATTAAATTTTAGATTTAATTTTTTTTGGCTTATCGAATTCAAAGTTACTTGATTTTTTTTTTATTATATTTTTAGTTTATTGAAGCGAATTGTTAATACAAGAGATTGAGACGAGAGTTTCTTTTTCTTTTTTCATATTTCATTCTAAATTTAGATCTTTTTTTTTGGACTATCAAATTCAAAATTACCCGATCTTTTTTTTTTGTCACATTTTTAGTTCATTGAAGCAAATTGTTAAGACAAGAGATTGAAACAAGAAGTTAAAACGAGGGCTTAATTGTTATTTTTTTATTTTTTTTTTATATTTTATATTAAATTTAGATTATTTTTTTTTTGAGCCTATCAAATTTAAAGTTACCTGACTTTTTTTTTGCATATTTTTAGTTCATTGAAGCAAGGTATTATAGAGAGTTGAGACAAGGATTGAGACAAGGGTGCTATAAACCAAATCTGAATGAGACAGTTTGCGATTTCTATCTAATTTGGGTTCAGGAGTTGACACTCTTTAAAATTTCAAACCCAATTTGAAACCCAAACCTATGCTTATTTATTTTTGCATATCCCAAACCTCAAGAACCAATCAATTATACAAAATAAACATGACATAGAATGAAACATGCATGGCATATGTGGTAGTGCAGGGGAATTATTTTACAATTGTAAAAACAATTCTCCCACATCACTAGACAATAACAATTTATTTGCCTTTTGATTCGCATTCTAGTCAGCAATATATAAATTTAGGTTACAACATAGTTCAACACAATTGCTAAATTTAGTAAAAATCTTTAGGAATCTACTAAATTACAAACTGTCGGGTTTGGTTTACATTACTAAACTGTAAGTTACTCAATTTTCTTATTGAGGCTGGGAGTTGTTCAACTTTCTCATTGAGACTAGAAGTTGCCTAACTATTTTTAGTTCATTGATGCAAAAGTTATTTTTTTTCGATTTATTTTTATTAAAATGATTGTTTTTTTTCAGTTTTGATTTATATAACAATACAAAATAAATAAAATAAAATCTAAAAGAATGCATGAATTTATTTAACTTTTATTCCAATCAGCTTTACAAATCTTGTTCTGCTTTAATTCTATTTAATAATGTATTCAATTTTATGCATTACACTAGTATTCTCATATGTATAACAAATTTTTCGTAATATACAGTATAAATTTCTTATGTTCATTCTATTTTTATAGCAATAACCAATATCAAATATTCATTTAGGTGGCATACACAATTTACGTTAAGCCAGTATTGTCATAGAGATCTTAAAGATAATACAAACCTAATACTACATATATGATATTCAATATTTTTATACAATACAATATACAATACAATAATAGTTTAACGTAAATTGTTTACGCTGTCTTAGTATGCTTGTCTTAGCAAAATTTTGACTATAAATAAATATTTCATTAATATTATAACCCACTCGATTTACTTAAATTGAAGTTTAGATACGTATAATCTCAATAGTGTTTGTAGTCGATTTTGCATTAGATAAAATTAGCTGGCTTAGTTAGCTGATTTTTCAAAAAATCGACTTAGTCAACTTTATATAGATTATCATAAAAACTTATAATATGATCCGAAAATTGGCGAAAAGAAAATCAACGAACATAAAATTACGATACAAAAATTTGAAAAATCACTGAAAAATTCTGATGTTTAACCAATAGAAGTTAAGATAATTGACTCCTACATAGCCAGCTAAGCCGATTTTTAAATATTGACTTAGTCAAGTCGATAAATAATGATCGACTACAAACACTATTTTGAAACTATATATATTATTTTTTAAGAAGTAAAATTTTTGACATAATGCTCATAAGCATTATTACGCAAAAATATGATAATTATATTTATTTTTGTATGTATTTAATAAATATGATCAACTAAACTTATAAAGTGATTTTTGATATAAATTTGTTTTTATGTGTCTCAGCTTATATTATTTTAATAAATTAATTTCTGCAAATATTCTAATATTATTTATATATTGTTTGCTACAGGATTAAAATAATTGTACAATCAATTCTTTAGGGGTTTAGAAAAATTTGTAGAGTATTCAGACCATTGCAATGTATAAATCTGCTTATTATATTTAGGTTTTTTTGTGAGAACAATATACAAAAATATTTTTATTATGAGCAGATTTATGCATCGCAGTATCTTGAATGCTCTATTAATGAATCAAAAATCCGCAAACAATATAACAGAAGTAAAATATGTGTTAATTTTAAAAAATAGTTATAAAAAGATTAAAAAAAAAAAAAAAAATTTTCAAAAAAAAAATCTTTATTTTTTATAATTAATTAAAATAAATAAACATACGACAAAACAAATGACTTCTATATTTTGTGCCATATCCTTCATAAAGAGTGTCTCTGGTTCAAATAAATGTAGAATTGGGTCCGCAATTTATCGAACTGCAATTGATGAGTTCATGGAATATAAATTTAAAGCCTTTTATTCAGAAGAGTCATCGCTTATTAAAGAATTAACTGAAAAAACTATAATTATGATTATTGGTCGTTTTGCATTTGAAGACAAATTAAATGTAAATATAAAACCCAGTTTGTCTATACTAATTTAAAAACATTTTATATATAATTATAGGTTTTGGTCAAATTCTGTCAAACAGAATTTTAAAAATTCACTTTACGGGATGCAACATTCAAAGTTTACTAATAATTAATAATTATACTTACTAATTTATTATAGACTTTGAATATTACGTCTCGTGAAGTGATAATTAATTTCTGAATTCTGTTTGTCAGGATTTGATCAAAACACATAATAATGATATAAGTAATTTAATTTCATACTTTCAATTAAGGTCACGATTTCTCAAAGTGTAACTTTGCGTATTCAAACAGCACAAGACGAACCTAATATTTATGATTTGCCAATTGCACCTGCTTTTGGCATTTTTTCTGCACCCATTCAGGACCCTTCTGAACCATATGAGAATAAAGCTATATTTCGTCTAAAAAAAGACGTATATAATAGTGTAAATAGAAAAAATACTAATTTGTCTGTAATATGTAAATATGATCCAAGAGGTCATCATTCTAGTGTAGCTGAAGCTTCAAAATGTCGATCTATTTTTTCTGTTGCTGGTGAATTAGTTTTTGTTGAAAAATCAGTCTTTGTATTATGCGATGCAATAGAATGGAACTACAAAACACAAGAAAATTTTGAATCTCCAAGTAACAAGATGGAACATTTGAAAAATAAGAGAGCAAGAGATGAAGAGCTTGCAAAGATTGCAAAAATCTTTAATTCAAAAAAGAAAAATCGTTCTAATACTCATGAAGATATTCTAAGAAGCGAAACTGCTTTAAACAATATCAGAGGTAAAACGTTATTTATTATATAAAAAAAAAAATAAATAAAAAATTAAAAAAACTTACTGAGCTTTTCTATTATTGTATATATATATATTTTTTTTTTTTTTTTTTTTGAAAACTGCATTTTCTCATAAAAAAAATACATCTTATTATTATTTTAAATACCTAGCAGAAGAAAATGAAAAAAACTCTATAATTGGAACTTTGTCAAATAACTATAATGATTCAACGCAAATGAATAACAATGTAACGAATGAATCTATCCATAATACTAATACTATAAACAAACAAGACAACTTGTACGTGAATATAGATTGTAGCCAAGTAACCAATAATCTTGACAATCAAGACGTCAAACATTCCATCACTATAATAGAAATTGAAGATTCTGATACATCCTAGAAAATTTATAGCCAGGCTTCTATTATGGAAGTATAATATGCTTTCAATATTTTATATTCTATTAAATTGGTAAACTTATAATAATAAAAATAAAAATGATTACAATACATGTCGTTCATCGAGTTCAGGCAATGTGGCAAGGCCAAACTCTAAAATTTGCATTTTAATATTTATGCCTCTTTAAAATGATGAACTTTCACTTTTTTAATTATATAATATCACTTGCCTGTGTTCAAGAAAGGCGGTGAATCAAAAGCTAATAAAGTCGAATTTCACTGAAACTTCTCATATGTAATGATTATTTTTTAACCAATCAAATATTTCTGGCCCGTGATGGCCTGCAGGTCAGGCCCGACCCGGCCTGAACCTTGATCGACATGGCCTGACCCGGGTGACCCACAGGTCATGCCTGGCCTGTTTGAACACTACTCTCAATAGGCTATTTCCTTTTCAGGAGTTTGTATTACCCGCTCAAATAAATGGCTGAAGTGGTGGCACTACATGCACAAATTATTGATATATGCACGTACGTATACGAATGTACGATCTGAAACAGTGTTTAATACTCATAAATTTAGAACAATTCTAAAAGTATTACATTTTTTCCGAAATTATTTCTTCCTACGTATTATATAAATTCTTGTATCTAAATGTCAAATACAAAAGACAATAACTCATTAAATGAAATTATTCATGTCGCTGATTCTATCAATCAACTGAATTTCATCGATATGAATGATCCAGATGAGGTGTTTTGGCTTGGTTATTGTTACGAACATGGAATTGGAATGAAAAAGAATAAGAATAAAGCATTTATTCATTAT